TCTCAAACAGGTGCCGCTTTTCCAAGGTTTCTGCCAACTGCAAGTACCAGATGACCTTCCACTTGTGTCAGCCCTGCCCTTGGGACAAGTAGGAGCCCCAGCAGAGAGGCTACCATTGGGTGGGACTCTCACGCAGGGCAGACACTCACCCCAGTACTTCCTGACATCCTCTCTCCCAGACTCCAAAACATCTTCCTAAACCGGGGACCTGATGATGCCCCTCCCCTGCTGGCAACCGTCAGTGCCCCTGCTGCCAGCCCACTAGCACCGGACTCCTAATCGTCCCTTCCTCCTCTGCCAGCCATTGACACCAACCGGCCCTTCCCTCCCTGGGCCTTGGCCCAGCTAGCCACCTGTTTAGGCCGGGTGTCCTTCCAGTCCCCTCCTGATCCACATCTGGCTCCCCTGGGCCCCCGTGGCACATAAGGCTGAGAGCAGATTCCCACCTCTCGTGGTTATTAGTTTTTCCCTTGTTTGCTGTCCCGAGACCAGGAACTTCTTGAGAGCAGAGACTGTGTAGGATTCATCTCAGTGTTCTGGGCACCTGGCCCAGGGCCTGGTGCCTAGAAGTGTGTACAAATGTTGCAGTAGGAGGGAAAGAAAGAGAGGAGGAAGGAAGAGGAGATGGGAGGAGAGGAAGGAAAGGAAGACGCGTAGGTCTGTCCCCTTCCCTTCTTCCCCCTTGACATTCTCATCTCAGTGTAAAGGCCTCACCCAGCCTGGCGACACTGTCAGGTGGGGCTAAGCCTGTGAGGGGAGGCAGGTAGGAGGAGGAGGAAGCTGCTGACCAAGCAGCACTTCCATGCAGAGGCTTAAGAGCTATTTGTGCCAGGCCTGCTAATCCTCCACGGCCAAGTCAGAGCCTTGCACCGGGGCTCCCAGAGGGGCAGGGCTGGAGAAGCCCCAAGATGGCTACGTCAGTCTTCAGAGACAGTCAACCCCAGGCCCCCCAGGCCCCCCACTCATGGCTCCTCACAGCTTGTTCTCGGCCTGGCTGAGAAAGAAGCTAAAGGGGCAATGTCTCAGAAAGTTGCCCCCACTCAGGCTTGATCACTGGCATGCTCTGGGTCCCTCTCTGGACCGCCTGACATGGAGAAGGAGACAGAAGAGCTTTAGCTGAGAAGTTAGGTGGCCCAGGTTCAATGGCAGCTCTACCAAGGAACCTCAGCCCTTCAAGCCGATTTCCTCTGTGTTCAGAGGAGAGTGAAGCCTCCCCACAGGGGCCGGGGGAGTCGTTCATTTATTCAACAGCTATTTATTGAGCGCCTACTCTGGGCTGTGAGCTCGAAATGCAGCAAAGACAGGCTGGGTCAGCCCTGCATTCTAGAGAGAGATGGGCAGTCAGTGAGAAGACAGACAGGACAGTTGCTGATAGTGACAAGTACTGAGTAGAAAATGAATATGGGGGAGAGCTGGTTTGTGGAGTTGGGGTGTGGGGCTTCTCCAAGGCTGTGAGCTCCCTGAGATTAAGAAGAGGATCATACTCTTAGCAACGCTCACTGATCACTGCAGGCACCAAATTAGGAAACTGAGGCACGGGGAAAGGCGGAGGCTGGGCTGCACCACAGTTGTATGGCTGCAGAGCCTCAGTCTGGATGAAAGGGTGGGCATAAGGGGGCCGTGCCCAGGAAGGAGGACCGTAAATCCTGGGTTGTGAGGTCTGAAGATCCATGAGGCAGGCCTTGGTGGGAGAAACAGCCGAGGCTTACCCTGCAGGCGGGTGTGGATCCCTGAAGTTCCATAGGCCCAGCAGACCGAGAGGAGAGAGGGGGCTTCCCAGGCTCTCGGAGACACAGAGCCAGCGGGGCCCCCTGCCCTCAGGGCCACCACTGCTGCCCCAGGCCTGTGTGACTCAGTCCTGAGCCTTTTTCACTACCTAGTACGGCGTGTGTGTGTGTGTGTGTGTGTGTGTGTGTGTGTGTGTGATTTATACCATGGTGTGAAGGACTGGCAGATCTTTCCTGAGAGCTGGTTTTAGTGCTGGAGGAGACATGGCCAAGCAGGTAGGTAGGTTGTAGCTGGGCTGTCACTGATTTTTCACACGACCTGGCCAATTCACTGCTGACTCTGGGCCTCAGTCTCCCCACTTAAAATGCAGTAGGAAGGGTCAGGGTAGGTGGCTTCTAATGACCTTTTAGCATACTCCCTGAACAAAGAGCATTTTTTAAAAAATTATTTAGCCCTGGCTGGTGTGGCTCAGCGGACTGAGCACTGGCCTGCGAACTGAAGGGTGGCCAGTTTGATTCCCATTCAGGGCACATGCCTGGGTTGCAGGCCAGGTCCCCAGTTGGTGGTGTGTGAGAGGGAACCACACACTGATGTTTCTCTCCTTCTCTCCCTCCCTTCCCCTCTGTCAAATAAGTAAGTAAGCAAGTAAATAAATAAATAAATAAATAAAATCTTTTAAAAAAACCAAAAAATTATTTATCATGCTTTCTGGAATACGGAGCAACATGATGTCAGTGATGGCCTTTAATTCCCCATCACTTCGCCCTGTCAGGGTGGGGCCATTCAACTCTCTTACAGAAGAGAAACCCGGTCTTAGAGAGGGGAAATAGTTCCTGGGGTAACTCAGATCCATTCAGTGATTCCACAAATGTTTGTCGAATACCTGTCGTGCGCCGGCCCTGGACAGACCTCAGTGAGCAACACAGACGGAAGCCCCAGCTCCTTCCTCTGGCTCTAGGAAATGATTCGAGCCGCTCCTGCCACATGTTGGGGGACCCTGCTGGGCTCCGGGGGCCCGTTGGTGAGCCAGAGAGAGCCCAGCCCACCCTGTGGGCTCACGTTACATCCTGGAAGATGGATGAAAAACACATGAACAGAACATGAGTCAAAAGCTTCTAGGCTGTCATAAACATAAGGAAGTGACAGGAAGATTCTGAGGTCAAGGGCCAACAGCTCAGCCCGGCCAGGGCAGGGCTGTGGGGCAGCCGGGTTTGATTCAGGGAATCCAGTGCTGCTCCTTCCTTCTGGCTCCCAGGGGCCAGACTGTCAATCAAACCCTCCATCCTGACCTCATTAGCACGGGGCCTAATCACTGGGCCAAGTGCCTTACACTGCAAGAGGTCACACCCACTCGCCCGGCCTTGCCACCCCCTGCACTCATTCCACCAACCCTTTGTGCACGAGGCCCTGACAGGAAGGGGTCGGGAGCCCCAGCTGGGCTGGAGGGAAAGGGGCACTCTTTTTTTTTTTTTGAGCAGACAGGTCTAGGACACCCAGGAGGGAATAGAGGTTGGGTATCAGAAAGCTCAGGGGAATGCCTTTGCCCTCGCTCTTTGCTCTGCCTAGGTATCTTTGCCCCCCAGATCTCGGCAGGGCCAGCTGCTTCCAACATTGAGTTCTCAGCTCGAACTTCACCTTCTCAAAGAGACCTTCTGGATAACAGTGTGTTAGGAGTGGGCCTTTTCTCTCTCTCTCTCTCTCTCTCTCTCTCTCTCTCTCTCTCTCTTTTTTTTGGTTTCATTACTGTTTGTAATGGAACACTTCTTGCAGGCAGGTGCTTGGTCCTCATCCACTGCATCTCCCAGAACCAAGCAACTTGTTCAATACACATTTGTGGCTGGACAATGGTCATCAAGTACCCTGCATACCAGACACTTCCTGCTGCCCCTTTATTCCCAGGAGGTATCATTGCACTCCCGTTACAGATGAGGGGAGCCTGTCCATACAGGTCTTCCATGTGCCCCAAAGCTTATCCCACTGTCCTAGGACCCACCCTCATGGGGTTACTTGTCACACTATAGCCAAAGCGCCCTGTCCCAGCCAAGCCTGACTGCACATCCCCAGACATGCCCCGTGTGCTGCAATATCCAACCAGCCCTGTTTCCAGTGTCTGCGTCCGTTTCACACTGGAGTCCCCCGGAGGCAGAGGCTGCACCTGCCTTGCTCACGACAGTGATGTGGGCCCAGCACAGGACGTGGAACACAGCCTGGCTCTTGGATGCAAGGCCTTGCTTCAGGGTCCCCGAGAGCCTCTGTCCCCTCCCTGCTTCCATCACCCCCTTCCCTGGTCTCTTCCTCCATCTTTACTCCCTCCAATCCGCTATGGGGGCATTCGTGCCACCTCTGTCCCTGAGATCTGCCGACTGCCCTCCAGATATAGCCAGGTTCCTCAGCTTGGCATCAGAGCTGGCCCCCGCCCATGTGTAGCCACAGCCTAGACCGGCCTCCGGCCTCTGCCCAGCCTTTGTCTCCAGTGTGCACTGTCTTCCCACTTGGCAACCTGGCAAAGTGCTTCTCTCCTTCAAAGACCCAAACATTGCCTGCCTGGATGCCTCCCGCAAGCAGGCCACCTCCCCTTCCTGGGCTGGGGTCTGTTCTTCCCACACCAGGGTCGTCCTAAGCCTGCGAGCTCCTCCTTTATCAATCTTTGTATCCCCAATGGCCTGCACATAAATGTTCGATAAACAAGTGAGCGAGTGAATTCCCGTTCAACACAACAGATATTTGCTGAGCTCCCGGGCTGTGCTGGGCTGTGTGTCTGGCAGGATGTGCCCCCTGCCCTCGTAATCTGGAGAGAAGGGCTGGTGTCGGTGTCCAGCAACAGGAGGAGCCATGAGGTGACTTGGGTGGGGAAGAAATGGGTAAAGGGCTGAGTGAGGGGATGAGAGGCGGAAGGCACAGCCAGAGCCTCTGCCCTCTCAGAGTTCATGGTCCAGTCAGAAGGAAGATGAAGGCAGCTCATACTAAGCCAGAGGGTAATGGGCTGGGAATCTGAAATCCCAATGCCAGACCAAGGCCATCAGGCTGAGATGGGCAGAGATTTCTGGGGGACGAAAGGGTGGGGGCAGGCAAGGCATCCTGCCCTTCTCTGGGGTTCCCAGCACCGCCCCTCCCCAGCCCCAGGCTTCCACCTGGAGTCACCTTGGCCTCTCTTGAGAAGCCAATTAGGCCCCCAGTTGCCGCACTGGGGATTACTATGATTAATAACGCCCCCAATCTCCAAGGTGCTGATTCAGCCAGGAGCTTAGGGAGGGGAGGTCACTTTATAAGGCTCTGGGGGGGTCAGAGCCCAGAGTTGTCCAGCCAGAGCCCTGTGTGGTCTAGCTCGGGCCCCAACAGCAGTCTTGGGTCGCAGCTGCCCACGGGGCAGCCACAAGGACCTCAGCCATGAATGGCACGGAGGGCCCCAACTTCTACGTGCCCTTCTCCAACAAGACGGGTGTGGTGCGCAGCCCCTTCGAGTACCCGCAGTACTACCTGGCCGAGCCCTGGCAGTTCTCCATGCTGGCTGCCTACATGTTCCTGCTGATCGTGCTTGGCTTCCCCATCAACTTCCTCACGCTCTACGTCACAGTTCAGCACAAGAAGCTGCGCACACCTCTCAACTACATCCTGCTCAACCTGGCCGTGGCCGACCTCTTCATGGTCTTTGGAGGCTTCACCACCACCCTCTACACCTCTCTGCATGGATACTTCGTCTTCGGGCCCACGGGATGCAACCTGGAGGGCTTCTTTGCTACCCTGGGTGGTATGAGCTGTGGTGGGGGTGGGCAGGGATCCCGGGAGCCAGGGGGTGTGGAAGTGTCTGGGGACCGCTCCAGGCTTGGGGACGGGGGTTGAGGCCTTCTCTCCTCTGCAGTCATTGGCATCATCCAAAGCTTTCACTTAACCAACGAGCACCCGGTGATGACGAGCCGGGCTGCCGTCTGGGGAGAGCAGGCACTGGGCACTGCTCCTCTCACGTGGAGTGGCGCCATCGTCTTGCCTTTCAGCAAGGAGATGGGATGAGAGACGTCAGGAGGTGGGATGAGTGGAGGGCGCATCCTGGCAGGGGCAGAGCTGTGTTCCAAGTCCACGTCCACGTGGCCCCAGGCCACGCCTGGTTTCCCTCAGAGCAGATGCTCTGGGTCAGACCCACACTGGGCACTATGGGGACAGGGACAAGACAGATCCCCACGCTCAGAGCTCCCCGCTCACCGTGGGTTGCAGATTCCAGGTCCCCCATTCACTGGGCTTCACCCGTGCTGGGCCACAGGCTCAGTCCCTTCCCAGCCCACTTCCAGCCTCTCTCCCACTGATGAATGCTCTTTGCATTGAAAACCTCATCCATTTCAAAAAACAAAACAAAACAGAATAAAAAACCTTCCCACAGAGAGGCATTAGACCTATGTGATCTCTAGCTTTGAAAGATGCTTTTAAATATTTCTTTGACTAAAAAAACTGATAGGAGTGCTGTGGAGATGATAGTTCCCATTTAGCAGATGAGAAAACTGAGGCATGGTAAGGGGTGACTCATCTAGGGATACGGCAGGGCAGTGTCCAAGGCCTGGGTCTCCTGGCTCAGACCCAGGAACTTCCCCTTAGGACACTCAGGCACGCAGGGCAGGCCAATGGGTGTGATCACAAAGTCAGGGTGATGGCGGGAGCCCAGCAGCAGCCAGAAGGACTGCTCTGCTGCCTGTCTTCTCACCCTCACGTGCCCCGGTTGCGGCCTCAGCCCCATTCCCCAGCATCCCAGGCCATCACTGGGTGTCACCTTCAGTGACCGCAGATTGCTCGGTTTCAGGCCAGAGGGCGGGGGTGAGACAGAAGCGCCACATACAGGCAGACACTGCTCTGTAGCGTCAGTCCCCACGAACAACTATTGTCCTGCAATAATTACCAGTGTCCCTTCCCACTCTCAGAAATGGCCCAGTTTGGATGCTAAAATCTGTGACCACCCCTCCTGGGGGTCTGCAGTGGTGCACAGCACAGATGTCTGAATTCCATCACTATTTCCTCGCTCACCCTCTGAGCCAAAGACCATTCAGCTTCCTGGCTCCTAAGAGAGGGTCCCACGTGTGAGGGTGTGCTGTTTCCCTAGAGGGAGAGGCCACTGACCCAGCAGGAGGGAAGGACTTCCAACTCCGGGTTTCCCCTGTCCCTACAATGCTTTTCAACAGCGACTCTGCCTGTTGCCCCCTAAAGGACACATTCTCTTGTAAAAACTCTCACAGGGCTCCTAGTCCAGCCCTGATCCCGAATCTAGTTTCTGGGTTCCTCGTGAACCCAGAGCTCGAACTGAACTTCCTGAGAGCTACCCCACTCCACCGCATGCTGGTCCCTCTGCCCTACCCTGTCCGCCTTCTTCTCAGTGTCTAAGCCTGCTCCACCCTGAGGCCTCACTCCGGGCCTGCCCCAGTCGCCTTCCTAGCTGCCCTCTCCCATATGCGAGGAGCGCTTGCACCTTAGGCAGACAGTGGGGTCCAGGCAAGTGGCATGCTGACCAACAGCTGACTGCCTTGCAGGTGAAATTGCCTTGTGGTCCTTGGTGGTCCTGGCCATCGAACGGTACGTGGTGGTATGCAAGCCCATGAGCAACTTCCGCTTTGGGGAGAATCACGCCATCATGGGGCTCGTCTGTACCTGGATCATGGCACTGGCCTGTGCCGCACCCCCACTAGCCGGCTGGTCCAGGTAATGGCACTGGGCAGAAGGGAAGGGTCTCTGGGGGTCTTCTTAAGGTCCACCAGCCAGGACTCAAAACCTGGGGCTATCAGGGTCCAGGCACCAAGCTGGTAACTCTTCTGGGGTTGGAGTTTAGGGTAGGGGAAGAAAAGATTGGACCCTAATGTTGCTATAGGGGCTGGTCCCATCTCCTGAGTTCCCAAGGAGGATCCGAGATAACCAACCCCTCACCTTGGCTATGCCCCTAATCCTTAACTAAGCCAGGGCCAGAGTTCAATCCTCTTTGGTCCAGTGCCCTGTAGGCAGCTTCCTTTGACCTTGGGCCTCAGTACCTGAGGAGACTGAGCCTTCCTAGTGTAGGTGGTGACATTGGGGGACCCAGGTCCTATGCATTCTGCAGGCCATCATCTCCAAGTGGAGCTGAGACAAGAGATGTGGAAAGAGGGGGGTAGTGGTTTGGGAAACGTGACTGGTGACTTTACGGGTTCCCAGAGGCCTCATGTTTCCCTGCTTCCAGGAAATTCCTGTTCTCTTACATTTCCTTGTCAGCCTCCCTGGGGTTGTTTTTCTGCCCTTTGCTAAATTCGAGGCCACCCCCCCCAGCTTCTTTTGCTGTCTGCTCTAGTCTAGTCTAGTCACATCCGAGTAGGCCCAGCCAATGGACATGGCACATTATCTGAGGCCAGTCCAACCTCACTGTCCTCTAGAATCACTGAAACAGCCTAACCACATGCCCCAGAGGCTTCTAGTTTCCAGAAACTGTACAAAGATCTCTTAGTTACTCTGTGTGCCCAGCTTTGGCCTAGAAAATACTCTTACCCTGTGGTTAGTGAGACCCCGGTTTGTACAAACTACCTCAAATGCAGAGTTCGGGAGCTTTCCCTTCTCCCCACCAACCTCTGCCCTGCAGAGTCTGAGACCTGGCCTCTGGCCACTAGGGTCTGGTGAAGAAATCCTGCACAGGCCAGAGGTGCGCATGTGCTGCCAGGTGAGAGACGGCGTGAGAGGCAAGGTCATGTCCCGGTAACACAGCCAAACAAAGCCAAACACACAAACAAACAAACAAGGCAACAACACGGTTTTTGCAAGGTGCATTCGAATCCCTTCTGTCAGTCAACTTGATCATCACAGCCACACAGCCAAGCAGACATTTCATTATCCCCCTTTTACGGAGAGAGAAAGTGAGGCCCAGAGTGAGGCCAGCCACACGGCAGGTCACTCTGGTCAGCTGGGGCCTGTTCCCCAGTTGCTCCCATGCGGGTCTCTGTCATGCCCCCTCCTGTCCCGTTCCCTGCTGGCCCTCAGGTATATCCCAGAAGGCATGCAGTGCTCGTGTGGGATCGACTACTACACCCTCAAGCCCGAGGTCAACAACGAGTCCTTCGTCATCTACATGTTCGTGGTCCACTTCACCATCCCCATGATCGTCATCTTCTTCTGCTATGGACAGCTGGTCTTCACAGTAAAGGAGGTACGGTCCTGTGCGGGGCACGAGGGCCACAGGCGTTGAGCGGCTAGAGCCCAGCACCAGGCCTGGAGTCGCTGTGGTCTGGACACCAGGCCCTGTGTCCCTGCAGGCGGCTGCCCAGCAGCAGGAGTCAGCCACCACCCAGAAGGCCGAGAAGGAAGTCACCCGCATGGTCATCATCATGGTCATCGCGTTCCTGATCTGTTGGCTGCCCTATGCCAGCGTGGCCTTCTACATCTTTACCCACCAGGGCTCCAACTTTGGCCCCATCTTCATGACCCTCCCGGCATTCTTTGCCAAGTCATCCTCCATCTACAACCCCGTCATCTACATCATGATGAACAAGCAGGTGCCAGGGGGCGGGGCTGGAGGGTCCGGGTCCCCCGAGTGGCAGGCACTGCCTATGGAGGACAAGCCACATCCTTGACAGGGTCTGAGTCTTCTCATCTGCAAAACTGGACTGGAGAGTTGGTGTCTCCCTGGGTACCATAGTCACCTGGGAGAAATGCAGATTCCTGGGCCCGCCCAGGACTGCAGCTTGGGGTGGACCTAGGAACCTGCATTTCTAACAAGCCTTTCAGGGGATTTTGGGGCTGGCTCAAATAAGATGGTTCTGGAGGCAAGCTTTAAAAGTCAAGTGGTCAAAGTCCCAAGCCTGGGTACAGCATGGTGCCAGTCCCCATGAAGGAGAAAAAAAGGTGGAAGCTCTTATTCTGAGGGAAAAAGCAGTCCTTTAACATGGGCCGGTGGTCTCTCTACAGACTCCATGGTCCAGGGGAAAATGCAGTCTCCAGAGTCAGGCATAACAAAGTCAAATCCCAGCTCTGCTAGTTTCTAGCTGTGTGACCTTAAGCAAGTCATTTCCCTTCTTTGGGCTTCGGTTTTTCATCCAAAGAAAGGGCAAAATTCCAAACTCTTGAGTTAAATGAGATAATTTACAAATAGCCCTTGGCACCCAGGAGGCATCATGGAATCTCATGAGTGAAAAGCCCCCTTGGGTTTGGTCCCTGGCCTCACGGGGGTAGGGTCACGTGTGTTTAGTAAGTTTTCTCCAGAGGGCCAGATGTGACGTAGGAGTGAAGGTTGTGAGGGCCGGAGCGGGAGGGGGCTGTAGGCACACCTTGTCAACCACCACAGTTTGTTACCCACACTTTGAATGAACCCTGACCTTGACTCACACTCCTTGCCTTCCAGTTCCGGAACTGCATGCTCACCACCCTCTGCTGTGGCAAGAACCCACTGGGTGATGACGAAGCATCCACCACGGCCTCCAAGACGGAGACCAGCCAGGTGGCACCGGCCTAAGCCCTGCCAAGGACTCTGATGCCGACCGTAGGAGTCTCCTGTCCCCCAGCACCCACCCCCAGCAACAGCTGTCCCGCCAGGAGCCATGCCTGTGGCAATCAGGTCTCACAGGCTCCATGAGTTGTTGTTTTTTTAAAGAATTAATGAGAGAAAAACAAGGCTCCCCACCCAACAGGGACGGCTCAGTCTGGAGTCCTGAGTTCTCAGGGGCCGGTGGGATCTGTACCCCTCCTCCCCCCAACTCATTCTCCGGAACAGAAGAATTCTTGCTGTCTGGGAAAGTGTCCTGGCTTAGGGATAAGTATCTAGCACAGAGTGGGGCACACAATAGGTGCTTAATAAATGCTAGATGGAGGAAGGAAGGAATGAATGGAGGAATGAATGAAGAGACGAATGGGCAGGGAGAGCACATTGTCTTCTCAAAACCACCCCAGCAGCAGCAGCCCCTTGGGTGATGACCTTGAGTGATTGATTGTTTTCCCCCTGGGCCTCACTTTCTTTCCCTGCAAAATGGGAATCCCCCCAATAAATAAATAAATAAATAAATAAATAACACGGGAATTTCAGTCCTCGGTCCCGCCATACATGGCTGCTGTGAAGATCAGATGAGATGTGTGTGTGTGTGCCTGTATATTAGAGTACTTCATAAATGGTAAGGAGCTGTACAGACTGTAGTTAATGTTATGAACAATATCAACTATTAATATAATTAATAAATTACTATGATCATCTCTTCTTGATAGTGACCATTTTGAGAGTGGACATGGCCCTGACTATCCAGCCTCAACAGGCATTTTAAAAAGTAGCCAGGAGTCCAAGCCAGACCAGGCCTAGGGGTTGGGCCACAGGGCGGGAGAGTTGAGTGAATACAGAATGCAGCCGTCCAACCTGAAAAACTACCATCAGACTGGACTCTGGGGCCAAGGCCCAGGGTCTAACCTCTGGCCTGGAACCCCAGGCCAGTGCCTCCCCTTCCCAGTGCTGCTTGTGAAGAGATAGGCCTTTTTCTCGGCTTCTGGAAACCGCAGGCTCACCTACCCAGCACTCGGGCCACGGCTTGTCTGGGCCAACATGGAACTTCCAGAAGCTATGCTCACCTGCCCACATTTAATAAAGAGCTGAGTCTCCAATGTCACCCTTGTCTTGAAGAGCTTAGAAACAAAGAGTGGGGAATTCGGTTGCGCCCGCCTTTCCTGGGGATGTTCATGGGTCCCAGATTCCAACTCCCTTGCTGGCTGAGCCCATCGTCAGCAGCTTCTGTCCACTCTCCATTCTGGAGGGTTCTTGCTGCGGAGCTGGCTGGAACTCTGGGTCATCAGAATTGAACAGCCTCAGTAACTGCCCCTCCTTCTTCACATAGTCAAAGCCAGAGGCTCTAGGTCTCCCCAGCCCTGCCTGGAAACGAAGGTGAAACAGGGCATTTTAAAAGCTCAGCTCCTCTACTCGGTGTCAGTGGAGGTGTTTTTTGTCACTCTCAAGCACTTTGTCTGCAGGATGGATTGAAACCGGGCAGTGCCCACCTGCTCCTTGCCCTGGGACACCTGAATTGGACAATCTGCCTCTTGGTGCAGGGCGGAGAGAGCCATCCCCTGGGACGGGAAAAGTCCCAACTTCAATGTCACAGATACCCAGATGACCAGTGAAGCTACAAGCAAATGTTCTCACCTCTCTGAGCCTGCTTATCTGCAAAAGAGAATCTAAAACAGACCTTGAGGGGATTAAATGAGACAGTGGGCAACTGGCCGGTCTCTTCCTGGCATACGGCTGACAGTGGGAGACTTTAGGCATTACTAGGGCCTCGGCTCAGAGCTGGCCTTACTGGGCATCCCATCTGCAAGGGAAAAGGAATGGAGACATAGCCCCCGAGAGTTGCCCTCGTCCTCCAGGTGGGAAGGGGTAGCAGGAGTCTGAGACGGAAGGTCCTTAGTGCTGTGGCAGGGCTCCATCCTTGCCCATCTCGCCTCTGCCCCTCTGGATGATGTCAGTCAGGATTCCTTTGGTTGCAAGTGACAGAAATTCCCTTTAGGTCTGAAACTAAAGGGAAAAGTTATTGGTTCCCATAAATGAAAAGCCCAGGGCTTTAGGAACAGCTGGAGACCGGCGCCCGGATGATATTCTCGGGCTTCTGAGCCTCTTCTGGTTACACTTCCCTCTGTGCTGGCTTCACGCACAGGCTGTTTCCAGGGGGTGGCAGAAGTGGCCACCAGTTGTTCCAGACTCGGCAAGCCCTGCCAAGAGTGGGCTTCTCTTTCTCCTCAGTTCCAGGTAGGGCTCTCAGTGGCCAGACCTGGGTCACCTGATTGCCCTTGCCCCCCAGTGTTGCCCCCACATGAACCAGATGGTGTGAGAGAGGAGAGCGAAGGCAACCTAAGGACATGCAGGGGTGTTGTTACCAGGAGGAGGATGGTGGGAGGAAGCAGGGTGGGCAGAGCCAGCAGTAGCCTGGACAGGATGGGCTCTAAGTCGCTGGTGTTTGGCCAGCCCAGGCCTCCCTCCCACACTGGGCCACGAGGAAGAAGGTTCCCAGAGCTGGCCCCACAGGTCACTCTCCATTTCGGAGGCCGCGTTGGGCCAGGCATGGCGGTGGGAGAGACAGTGACACTTTAGCCTCCCTGCCTTGCAGGCAGCCCTTAGTCCCCCACCACAGTTTACTTATTCTGAAGACTGGTATGTTTGTCTCAGCCTCACATCCAGAGGGAAGAAAATTACTCCCAAACCAGCACATTCTGTGGTTTTTCCTGGTAGAGGGGAAAGCCTCTTTCCTCCTTAATTTAGCACTGATGTGACAGCTGTGTAAGGGGCACTTGCCATAAATGAAGGTGAAGAGCTGCCGACTCAGCCTGGGAAGAGGGTACCATCCACCTCATCGCTAGGCTCCTGGCAGCCAGCAGGTTTGTGGAACACCTGTTGTGTGTAATCACGTCTCTGTTCAACCCAGTCCAAGGAAGCGGATCCTAAGTTAGGATGTGCTAGGGGCTACAGGAATTGGTTGGAGGTGCCAGGTCTCTGGGCTGTGGCCTGGACAGCCTCAGGGCCACAGAACTCTCTCACCCTTGATCTTGCCTCTGGGAGGAGATGGAACCACACCCGCCCCTCAAGGCAGCAGGACCTGATGGCAGCCTACCCTCCTTCCCCTCAGTGAAGACATGCATCCCTGATACCCCAAGTTTCCCCGAGGGAGGTGGTGAGTGTCCTTTCCAGCTATGTGACCTCGGACCAAGATTTTGAACCTCACTAGGGCCTCAGGCCTCTCACGTTTAAAGGGGAAGAATCACACCAGTTGGTAGAATTGTTTAAAGGGACTAATGAGATTCTTGCTACAAAAGATGCCGGGCACAGTAGACATTCAATAAATGTGAGTTCCCTTCCCGGAGATGTGAGCCAAGTTCAAAGGAACAGTTCCTGCTGTGGTCAAGATCAGCATTAAAGAGATTTAAATAATGGAGGGGGTCTCAGAAAAAGGGCAAGCAAAAGCTAACTGCCTTAATATTCATTCCCTTTCTTTCTTTTAGTAATATTTAATACTCCCAAGTTCCAACTGGCACCTGGCCAGCCAACACCACACTGCATCTCCCAGCTTCCCTTGCACCAGTGGCATGACATTAAGGTCTGGCCAACAGAGTATAATCAGAAGTGATGTTTGCATTCCCTGGGTTTTGCACATCAGGTAATGGAGGTGTCCTCCACTTCCTTTCTTCTTTGCTGTCTGAAGGCAGGAATGTGGTCGTGATGACCAGAGCTGCAGCAGCTGTCTTGGGTCATGAGGTAGAATCTATGGGCAACAAGAAAGAAGCTTGGAACCCCCAGCTTGCCTTACCAGCCCTGCACAACTTATTCTTGAAGACTTTTGTGAGAAATGGTCCCATGGTTTCTTGTTTAAGCCACTGTTATTTTGGAGGTATAGCTGGTTTCTTAACTAATAGAGGTCTTTCAGATTGCAGCCCAGGGTCCAGATTCGGGAAGATCAAGTGCAGGTCCTCTCTAAACTTTTGCTTCTTCATGTGTAAATAAAAGAGTGGATATAAAATATTAACACAGATATCGAACATGGCAGCTGCTACTATTTCTACCCTGCCCTCTCTGCGTTTATTAACCTCAGGTCACAAATATCCCAATGCCGCAGAGGCTACAGTTACACAAAAGAGACACTCTCTCCCTACTTCGGAAAGCTGAGAGCTATAACCTTCCAAACCATCAGGAAGTTCTCGTGCAGGTGGGTCCTATTCAACGTTCCAAGACAGCGAAAATGTTTCTGGCAAAACTTAAATTCCATCCAGGCCTCAGTAGAAGAGTCACCTCAGCCCACCCTGCTGCCTTTCCTCTCCAGAAGGCTGATCCTCACAATTACCATTTTCCTGTAAAAAGGCAATCCTCTAGAAGAATTTTTAGATCACGCAGCACATTTTAGAACTTCTTCCCTCCAAATGCAAACCTCTATCCTGGCACCACCCAGGAGCCGGGTTTCAGATGAAGCTCGTGGGAATGTTTGTATTGCTGAGTCTTTTTCTATTTCTCAGTTCTTGGAAATGCCCCAGAGTGTGGTCAAAACTGCTGCCCCCGTCTGTCCCAGATTCCTTTGCGTCTTTGCTTCATATCCTCTCCATCACTCAGCCAGGCTGGGCTCTGGCACCGGGGCCTCCACAGCAATGGGTGCTGAGTAGCTACTGTGCTGGGCACCAGGGACACCACCAGGTACAAGACAGACATGGTGCTCCTTCCCCCAACAGCACCTGCTCAAAGGCCGGTGCAGGAGACGGATTAAGCAGAGCTGTAACTCGAGGTGCTGGAGGCTCCCAGACAGCAAGTCCAGGGGCGGCTGACAACCAGAGGAGGGGCCCATCACCTCCTAGGGCCACAGGGAGGGCTTTTCCCAGGAAGTGACGTCTATTCTGAGGCCAAAACAGCCTAGAGAAGATAGGTGGGAGCAAGGAAGTGTCCTCTAGGCAGAGTATATCAGCTTATACATCATGAAAAACAGCTCCAGAACTTCATGGCTTACAACAACACACCATGTATTATGGCTTGCGACTCCATGGGTCAGCTGGACAGTTCTGCAGGTACAGACCAAGCTTGGTTGCTCTGCACTAGGCTCATTCAGGCTCGTGTAGCTGACTGGAGCGTTGGCTGGCTGGCTGGCTGTTGGCTGGGTGATCAGGGTATGGGCCTCTCAGCATCCAGCAGGCTAGCCAGAGCTTGTTCACAATGGGATTAGCATAAATTCACTGCCACCACATGCTATTGGTCACCACAAATTTAAGGAGTTTGGGGAAGACCTGCGAAGGTACATTGCAAATGAATATGGATATTGGCTGGGGTGGAAAACTATGGTTATTTCTTCATCAGTCTAAGCTATCACACAGAGGAAACACAGGGGAATCATAGCGGGCAGAGCCCAGATCTCAGCACCTGGCCCGTTCCAATAGCAGCTGTGTGGCGGGTCTGTGGGGCTCTAGGGGTTCCAAAAGCCGGGCCGAATGCTTACCTGGTATGGGAGATACCATGCTCAGGAAGGTGGTTTTCCCAGGGCTTATCCATTGCTCTTGGAGTGTGATGACTCCTGCAATTTCTCCAAATGTGGGAGACTTGACTGCCTAGTTTGTGGACTGTGTTCGCACTCTCCCCTCTTTAAAAAAAAAGGAACCAGACTGAAGAGGTCAAACTTTCAGTCCTAGGCAGGGGGGAGCCATGACACGTACTAGCCAGGAGAGTGATTCCTGATTTCACTTCAGAATACTTTGATGACCTCTGCCTCCTTCAATCCAGACCTCTGGCCACAGACAGTCCCCAGGGAAAACTCCAGAAATAGACTATGGAGAGAAAATTTTCAATCTGTTTAAACCTATCCCCTCTAAACTCTATGCCCTCCTTAGAAGTAATTTCTGCTATTACCTTGGTAGACATCCTTTCAGACCTTCTGGGCCTTCAACACACACACAAGTTCTGTCTTCTCAGAAGTGGAGAGTACATTTTTCTGGATCATTCATTTTCACTGCTGTAGCTGTCCCACCGTGGCAAGAGACCACCGTTTATTTGTCTGCTTTCTTAACGAGCATTGACGTTGTTCTGAAGTTTTGCTAAGATTGCAGTAGGCATCCTTGGACGTCAACGCCGTGGTTCCTCTGAGTTATACCTGGAGTGACCTGGGTGGGGTATGGCGTGCGTCCATTTTGGGCTGCGTTGGACGTTACTGAATTGCTTTCTAAAGTGGCTCCCGACTCACCCTCCTACTGGGTATGCATTTCTTCATGTCCTGGGCACTCAGCATTGATAGACAGTGAAGGATTTGTCATCCTACTGGGTGTGAAGTACAGCCTCATCCTTGTCGTAAGCCACTGCGCTATTTGAAATGGCTGCAGAGTACCCTACGGCCAAAATAAGGGAGTAATTTAGCCAGGCCCCAAGTGATTCATTTGGAAGTTAGTTCTATTTTACTTTCTTTTCCTAAGTAATGCACTTCTAGGGCAGAGGAGTGGAGTTGCTGGGCTCAAGGGAAAACCTTTTCAAAGCAGGCTGCCTCCCAGCTCACACCACGGGCAGGGGCAACGAGAACCTCTGCACCCAGCTCCCTGCCTCTTCCCAACACTTCGTCTTCACTTTCTGCCATTTTTATGGGGAAGTAACATCTCATTGCTGTTTCTATTTGAATTTTCCTGAATGCCAAGGAAGGTTGAGGTTATTTTCCTGTGTTTATCAACCATTTTGATGAATTGCCCGTTTATATTTTTTATCTATTTTTCCCATTGGCTATTGTCATTGTTTATGGAGACTTTTGCTAAGCAATTTTATTTAAAATTGCTCTTTTATTTTTTCAAGATGACTTCCTATAAAAACAAAACAAAAGCCCTGGCTTTGTTGCTCAGTTGGCTGGAGCATCAACCCATCCACCAGAAGGTTGCAGGTTTGATCCCTGGTTGGGATGTGTACGGGAGGCAACCAATCTATGTCTCTCTCTCTCTCTCTCTCTCTCCTTTCTCTCTAAAGTCAATACATATATATATCAAGCTTAAGAAAGGAGGTGGCCACAGGTTGACCTAGGGGTGTCTGCTTCTGGCAAACCCCACTTCAGTCAGCCTCCAGCTGCAGCTTCTTGAGAAACTGAGGCAAGCAGTGGCAAGGGTACAGGATCGGCCAGTGGGGCAGTGGGATTGGAGGGCCTCGCCTCTACAACCCAGCTGTGCCCAATTCCCCATCTGCAATTCCAGCCCCTGGTAAGCAGAGGGTACAGGAGGGACCAAACCGTCAGCCCCCCATCATTTCACATGGAGACTGAGACCCAGAGAAGTCAAGTGACTCATCCAAGGTCACACTAGAGTGGGTGACTTAGCTGGGGTGTCAGTGGCCGTGTGCCCCGCCCCACCCCAGCCCACCCACCCCAATCAGCAGCTCAGCCCTCCCAGCCCAATCAGGGACTAATTGGAGTCATGAGGCCAGGACACTGGGATATAAGACGAGCAGCGGGCCTGGCAGGCACGTTTACGTCTGTGTCTTCCAGTGTAATGGCTCCCGGGAGCGTGGCCTCCAGCGACACCTCGACCTCCTCAGCCTCTCTAACCTCCGTGAGCTCCACATCCGAATGGTCTGGGACTGGAAAGCCAGGTGAGCAAAGGGAGGCAGCTTCTCCTCCATCCCTGCAAACCCATCCCCCGGGTGTCCGGCACCCTTCCTCCTCCCAGCCTTCTCCTTCCCCAGCCTGGCCCTGGCACCCATCCTAGAGGCTGTTGAGTTCCACTGCTTGTTTGGCAGGTGCCAGAAGTGGCAGGGGCCAGGCAGGACCTGGGAGCTGAGGGTGGCTGGCTCAGAGAAAGAGGGCAGCGCAGGCCTCCCCAGCTGGGGCCCATTTCCTTTCAGGGGACGGCTGGGCGCCCAGGTGCAGCCTCGAGGCAGCTAGTTGAAGGGACTAGAGCAACAAGTGTTTGATATATAGGGTTGGCTTTGGATGTAGGGCTGCAACCCACCTTTTAATAAACAAGTAACACCTCGGGGTCTCTCAGGATATGGGGGCCACTGAAGCAAGCAAGCAAACAAACAAACAAACCCAGTTCCTTCCCTAAAGGAGCTCCCAGTTTGATGGGCAAGCCTGAGGCATTAATAGGTGCCGTTTGATGATGCAGCGGAGCCCAGAGGGCTGTTGAAGCTCAGAGGAGTCGCCCAACCCATTCTGGGAGGTCAAGGAAAGTTTCCTGAAGGAGGTGACCCCTGAAAAGAGATAAACCTCACCCACAGGAAAGAGGGTGAGGCAGGGGAATCTTTCCGAGTATTTGCCAAGGCTCCTTTGGAGGAGGGGGGTGGATTCCAGGTGCCTCGGGAGCACAGGGCAGAGCTGCTCACTCTGGTTTGGGAAGTCGGTGCTGTTTGAGCCTTGAAGGATGAGTGAAAGCGGCCTGGCTGGCTGAGGAGACAGAAGGAACGGCATGGGCAGAGGCCCAGAGAGGGTAGTGCGGGTGGAGCATTTCGGGAGTTGCAAGTGTCCCTTCTGGCTGGAGGCAGAGCTAAGGAGAACACTGGTGAGAGGCGGGCAGGACCAATCAGACTGGGCTTCCCGGGCTGCGGTCTGGTGCCTCGGCGTTTATACTGAAGGTAAGGTGGAGGTGAGGGGTGTGAGGTACAGTGAGGAGAATGGGTTGGAAGAGAAAGGAGGCGGCAGGGAGCAGGCTGGGGCCCTGGGGATGGAGAGGACAGGCCAGAATGGAGAGAGAAAAGCCTAGGGAGAGGAGTGGAGTGGGTGTGGTGGGGGAGGGGAGGGGAGGGGCAGGGTGTTCCCCCTGGGTTCTTGCTTGGGTGTCTGGGTGGGTAAGGGGGGAGGTGCCATTCCTGGGAGGGAAAAGTCAGAGAGCAGGTGTGGGGGAGGTGTGAGTTCTGTTCTGGACATCTCGGTGTTGAATAACTGCTGAATGAGGAGCTGCAGCTCACAGGAGGATCTGGGGAGGGAGGAGACTTGGAGGTGGCTCCCCGGGACAGGGCATGGTTTGGGAAGGCACGGGGTTCACTAAGGTGCCAGCCCAGGCCAGGACTGAGGGCCCTTCTGGAAACCCTCTGACACTGCAGCTGGGTGGGCTCAGACCTTCTTAGAGGCCACCCCACGGCACAGAGGGGAAGACCGAAGCCCAGAGAGGAGGGCAAATCTCCCGAGGCTCTGGGGGTGACTGACCCAGGACTCCACCGGGTCATATGCTGCGGCCCCAACACGGGTCATATGCTGCAGTTCCCGCACACTGTGCTCTTCTGGGCCAGGAGGCAGCAGTGGTCCAACTGGATTATGTCTCCACCGTTTTGCTCAAGATCTAGAGTTTTGGGGTATTTTTTCTATTTTAAAATGTGTGTGGGGTTTTTTTTTACTTAAAAAAATTTTATTAAATATTGAATTGATAGAGAAAATAGTACAACGTGTGTATAAGTTGCAATCAAATGAGAATTACCTGCGTACCCACCACCCAGCTTAGCGCTGCCAGCACTTTAAATTGTAAAGGACACCATTTTGCTTCTTGCAAATTCTTTCTCCATTAACCAGGAATAACCACTATTTTGCTTTCGTTTATAGTTTAACATTTATGTAGATATCAACAAATAATATTTTAATTTAGCATTTTAAAACTTCATCTAAAATGTGATTATTTTGTATTTTATTTGCTTTTTTTATTTTTTAATTTTTTAAATTTTTTTTATTGATTATGCTGTTACAGTTGTTCTATTCCCCCTTTCATTCCCTTCCACCCTACCCCCCATCCCCACCATTACCCCCCCTTTAGTTTATGACCATGTGTCTCAAGTCCTTTAGATTCTATATTTCCCATGCTATTCTTGCCCTCCCTTCTATTTTTTATCTACTGTCTATGCTACTTATTTTCTATACCTTCTCCCCCCTTCTCCTCCTCCCACTCCCCTGTTGCTAACCCTCCTTGAGATCTTCATTTCTATGTTTCCACTCCTGATCTAGCTGTCCTTTTAGTTTGCTTTCATTTTAGGTGTGGTTGTTAATAACTGTGAGTTTGTTGTCCTTTCACTGTTCATGTTTCTTTAACTTCTTTTTCTTAGATAAGTCCCTTTAACATTTCATATAATAAGGGTTTGGTGATGATGAACTCCTTGAATTTGATCTTATCCGAGAAGCACTTTATCTGTCCTTTCATTCTAAATGAAAGTTTTGCTGGATAGAGCAATCTTGGTTGTAGGTCTTTGGATTTCATGACTTGGAATACCTCTTTCCAGCCCCTTCTTGCCTGTAAGGTCTCTTTTGAGAAATCTGCTGACAGTCTGATGGGGACTCCTTTGTAGGTGACTGTCCCCTTAGCTCTTGCTGCTTCTAGGATTCTCTCCTTCATTTTAATTTTGGCTAATGTAATGATGATGTGCCTTGGTGTGTTCCTTCTTGGGTCCAACTTCTTTGGGATTCTCTGAGCTTCCTGGATTTCCTGGAAGTCTATTTCCTTTGCCAGATTGGGGAAATTCTCCTTTATTAATTGTTCAAATAAGTTTTCCACTGGTGGCTGTGCCTTTCCCCCTTCTGGTACCCCTATAATTCGGATGTTGGAGCATTTAAAGATGTCCTGGAGGTTCCTAAGACTCTTCTCATTTCTTTGAATTCTTGCTTCTTGACTCTTTTCTGTTTGGCCATTATTTGCTTTCTTCTGGTCCACTCCATTGATCTGAGTCCCAGTTTCCTTTTCATTGCTATTGGTGCCCTGTGCAATTCTATTCATTTCAATTAGTTTCGCCTTCATATATTTGTCTAATTTGTGGGTATAATCAACCAGTTCTGTGAGGATCCTGATGATCAGTGTTTTAAACTGTGCGTCTGAGAGTTTTGCTATTTCTTCATTGCTTAGATCTATAGGCCCTGGGGCTTTGAGATCTTCTTGAGCCATTTTTGGTCTGTTTGGGGCCCTTTAAGTGTGAGAAGCGGCGCCTTGGACTCCCAGGTCGCTGGGTTGTGACGTTGTATGTGGGGGCGTGGTCAGAGTGGGGAAATGGCAGCACCCTCCACTGCCGCTTGCTGCGGTGACCCGCTGGCCCTGGTCCAACCGCCCACTCCCTCGCCTGTCCACCCGCGCACAAATGCGCGACCATAGTCAACACGCAGCACCGCTCCTCCAATGTCTCCCCCGCGGTCACTCGCTCGGTCCTCACTAGGTCCAACCCTGCGCCGCCTGGATTCCGCGTGCCTGGGTCCGTCTGCTTGTTTGTTTTGTTGATTAGGTTTCACTTAAAGGTGAGATCATATAGTCTTTCACTGCCTGGCTTATTTCACTTAGCATAATGCTCTCCAGTTCCATCCAGGCTGCCTCGGAGGGTAGGAGCTCCTCCTTTCTCTGCTGTGCAGGAACTTGTGGAAGGTCCGCTGCTGCTTCTGCTCTACTTCTGCCACATTGTTGGTTCTTTAGACTAAAATGTGGTTTTAAAAATATATATATTTTAGCCAATTGATCCCCCTTTGAATCTTTAATTTTTGTAAGTTGATCAGAAAGCAACATTTCTAATCACTGTACTTAAATTAGGGTTTATATTTAAACCACTTTTATGTGCCTTATAGTGGCTCACAACTTCTCACCCTTCCTCCCAGCTAACCCCTGGATCCTATTCTCTTTTGCAACTTTTTAGAATAAAAGCTCATTGATATATCTCAATCATTTACATACCATACAATTTATCCATTTAAAGTGTACAATGGCTCTTAGTATGTACACAGTTTTGTATTCATTTCCACAGTTGATTTTAGAACACTTCCATCACTTAAAAAGAAAACCTGCACCTACGAGCAGTCACCCCCATCCCCACCCCCATGCCCCCAACCTCTTGCAGCCACTGATCTACTTTCTGTTCCTATGATTTGCCCATTGAGAAAGTTCATTTAAATGACATTACACGTGATGTGACTTTTTGGGACTGACCTCTTCACTCAGCACAGTGTTTTCAGGGAAGCGCTGTTTTCCTTCTCTTGGGCAGGTGATGCTCTGTTTCATGACTGGCACGTTTTGTGCATCTGTTCATTAGTTTATGGGCATTTGCCTTGCTTCTGCTTTTGTGCTATTGTAAATGATGACCCTGTGAACATTAGTGTAAAAATGTTTGTGCGGATGCATGTTTTCGTTTTTCTTGGGTATAGATTTAGAAGTGGAACTCTTTCATAACTTTTAAAAAATTGTTGTTCAAGTACAGTTTTCTGCCTTTTACCCCCATCCCCGCCCACCCCCCAGCCCTCCCTACCTCCCTCCTGCTGCCACCCCTCCCCTTGTTTTTGTCCATGTGTCCTTTATACTTGTTCCTGCAAACCCTTCCCCTTTTCCCCTGAAATTCCCTCCCCTCTCCCCTCTGGTCCCTGTCCCCTTGTTCTCTATTTCAGTGTCTCTGTTTATATTTTGCTTGTTTGTTCATTTTGTTGATTAGGTTCCTGTTAAAGATGAGATCATATGATATTTGTCTTTCACAGTCTGGTTTATTTCACTTAACATAATGCTCTCTAGTTTCATCCATGCCATCACAAAGGGTAGGAGCTTCTTCTTTCTTTCTGCTGCATAGAATTCCACTGTGTAAATGTACCATAGTTTTTTGATTCATTCATTTACTGATGGTTGCTTCCAGCACTTGGCTATTGTAAATTGTGCCGCCATAAACATTGGGGTGCATAGGTTCTTTTGGATTGGTGTTTCAGGGTTCTTAGGATATAGAATTGCTGGGTCAAAAGGCAGATCCATTTTTAGTTTTCTCTTTCATAACTTTTTATAATGAAAACTTTCATATGCATACAAAAGCAGGGGGAGTGGTACAGTGACCCCCAGCCCCGCCCCATCCCACCCCTCGCACCATCATCTGGCTTCACCAGTTACTAGTGTACAGCTACTCTCATTTCACGGCTACTCTCGTTTTATGTACCAGGTCATTTCCATGCAAGCGCCAGAGCTATCATTTCATCTCTAAATACCAGTATGTATCTTTAAAAAGTAACTCTTACAAAATAATTTCAATACCATTGGCATAACTGAAACAATATCATCAAATATTTCCAGTAGTCACATTTATCTCGTGGCCTTTTTCTCCCCCAGCTGGCTTGTTTAAATTGTGTTCTGAGTTTGCACAAAGCCCCCACATGGCATCTGGTCGAAAGTCTCTCCAAATCGCTCCTCTCTGCATCCCCACTTTTTGTTTTCTAACTTGCTTATTTGTAAGCAAAACTGGGCTCTGGATCCTGGAGAGATCCTCACAGTCTGGGTTTGCTGGCTTCATCACCGTGACTCTTTTACAGGGCCCCTGGATTCCCCGTAACACCTCATCCAATTTAGGGTTTCTTTTGTTGTTGTTGTTAAGATTTTATTTATTTTTAGAGACAGGGGAAGAGGGGGAGAAAAAGGGGAAGAAAAGCATCAATGTGTTGCCTCTTGGATGCCCCCCACTGGGAACCTGGCCCAAAACCCAGACATGTGCCCTGACTGGGAATCAAACCAATGAACCTTTGGTTCACAATCCGGTGCTCAATCCACTGAGCCACACCAGCCAGGGCGGGTTTTTTTAATTTTTAAAGCAATGTTTAATTTTTCCTATGAGCTTTCATGAAGTGCCTGGTGTGTGCCCAGCCCCATAGCAGGCACTAGGAGACAGTGGCTGGCCAAGCGGCATGTCCGGCTCTCGGGGGCTCACAGGCACTGACTTGGTGTATATTTGATCCCCCTATGCCCATTTTCCACCCACCACAGGGCCGGAATGTGCCTGCTGTGTGCTTCACGGGGCATGTTTGTGGTCTTTTGGGCCCAAGGGTGGTTCGAGCTCTGGGCGATGTCCTGTTGTCCGTTCGCAGGCCTGAGCCATAGGGTGAGAGTGCCGCACCGCCACCCGTCCGTGCTGCGCATGGTCCTGGAGGCGCTGCAGGCAGGGGAGCAGCGCCGGGGCACCTCGGTGGTGGCCATCAAGGTTTATATCCTGCAGAAGTACCCCATGGTAGACGCCATCCGGCTCAAGTACCTGCTGAAGCGGGCCCTGCACACTGGCATGCAACGTGGCCTCCTCGTCAGGCCCACCAACTCCAAGGCCAAGGGGGCCACTGGCAGCTTCAAAGTGAGCATGCTGGGGGTGACTGGTCGGGGTGGCTGGTTGGGGTGCTGCAGGGTGAGACTGAGCCAGGGTGTAAACTTCAGTCCATCTCTCTCCTCCTGGCCCCTCTATGCTAGTCCCCTGCCAGAGGCCTGTCTCCCCCTCTTCTCTCCTTGCTTTTCCTGTGTGGTCTTGGAGACACTCCCTTTTCCAGGAAGGCTCATGGGTGTGTGCCTTGTCTGAGCCCTCACGCAGCTCTGGTCATCCTGCTGTGTCCACCTTCATCCTTGTCAGATGTGTTTAGGGACCAGGGACCATCTCAGCTGTGTTCCCTTCTGCCCGTGACCCTTCCTGAACTCCTCACCTCAGACAAGGCGGTCCAGCCTTGGGCTCTAGAAGGTCACAGAGCTGGGGTTCACTCCCCATGCTCTCTAGCTCCAAATCAGGGCTGCCACCGCCCTGAGCCACCATGTCCTTCTCTTTCAAAGGGCAGGGGCCCAGAGGGGGTAAGATTTGTCATAAAATTGAACCCCAGCATCACAACTGTCAGCTGCCACCAGGGAAATCTCAGGGACCCAGACGTGGGTTCTGTCTTGTGTTGCTGTGCCCCAGTATGTAGCAGTTGCTCTGACAGTTGCCATAGAACATTGTGGAACATTCTCAACGTACTGTCTTCCTGTCCCTGTGGTAATCAGTGGCTGAGCGCAGGAAATCTCATCCTTGTTAACTCCTGGGCGTGGGTCAGAGCTTGGAGCCATGGCAAGGCCCAGGGCTAGGGTGGGGTGTGGAAGAGCAAGAGAGGGGTGCTGGGGGCATGGGTGGCTGGGTTATGCACAGGGCCTGGGAACCAGTTAGGAAAGTGCACTGCAGGGATGGGAGGCAGGGAAGGGGCCCTAGGATGCCCACGGAGTTAGGAATGCATGCGTGCTGAGAGTGGGGGTTGTTTCTGGTCTGGGTGGAAATTGGGGAGCCATGAGGGCTTGGGGGTTGGGGGAAACATCACCAGCAGTGGACTGTAGAAGAGCAGGGACCACCTTTTTCCAAGGGCCCATGCATGCTCATAACCTCCCTAATGGCTCATAACCTCCCCGATGGCTCCAGTGTGAAGATGGGAAGACTGCTGAGTTGCACAGCTAGGGAGGGCTGGAGGAAGCTTTGAACTCTGGGCTATGTCGCCTTGAAGTTCATGTTCTGTTCGTGGGCATCACGGGCAAGGCAGGGAGTTTGAAGACGTGGAGGTGTGAGGCAGGGCTGGCTTTGTGGGGGAGAGGAAGGTAGGGTCAGAGCCACAGTCCACGGGAAGGTGTGGGCAGGGAGGATGCCAAAGGTTCGTATCTTAGCCTCTCAGAGGATGGGGTCAGGGCTCACAGTGTGCGCCATCAGCTCCCAGAAAACGTCTTTGGCACTTCCAGATGCAGGGGTGGGAGTGGGGGCAGTGTGCCTGTGGCCCCAGGAAGCAGGAAGAGCACCTTGCTTGAGTTCGAGAGACTCAGGTCCCCCAGCTCCTAAATGGCAATAGTCCTTTGTAGTGAAAGAAAGTATTGAACAAGTGACCTTCTCCCCATGCCCACCCTCCTTCACCTTCCCACTCTTTGAATGGGGCTTCTTCTCTGAGCCTTAGATTGGGAGAAGGGACACGAACACCCAGACCTTCAGCCCTCAATCCCACCCCATTCTCTCCTCTGCCAGTTAGTTCCCAAGCACACAAAAAAAACCAAGCCCAGGAGGACATCTACCATGTCAGCCCCCAGGAGACCTGCTGAGGCCAAGGAGGAAGCCCCCAAGAAAGGTGGCCAGACCAAGGATGGAGAGGCAAGAGTGGGCAAGGCCAGGAAGGTCCCCCGACAGCCAGACAAGGCCACAAAGGCCCCTCCTGGTGCCTCCAGGCCCCATGGGAAGTCAAAGGTTAAAGGCAGAAAGAACAGCCCAGGTAGGTGTGTGAAGAGGTGAGAGGAGGGCGTGGGCAGCCACCGGATGTGAGGACGGGGGCGCGGCTCTGGTGGGGAGATTTCCTGCCTGGTAAATGTGCCCTAAGCATTAGCCTTGACCTGGACAGACAGAACTCATGGAAACTGGTGCGGGGTGGGGATGAGGAGCCTGACTCCTCTCTGCGAGAGGCCAGGGAAGGCTTCTTGGAGCAGGTATTTCAGGCAGAAGAGCAGCTTATGCAAAAGCTTGGAGGCATGGAGAAGGCGAAGTTTTTGAGGCAGTGAAAATAGTTCTGTGTGCAATGAAGGCGGGGAGCTGGGGCAGGCAGCGGCTCGGGGAGGCTGGGAAGGGCACCCCGGAGTCTGGGCTTTATCTGGAGAACAATGAGAAGACACAGAAGGGCTCTGAACAGGGGACAGCTAGGGTCTGAGGTACTTCTTAAGAAGATGGGCTAAAGAGTAGACGCTGACAAGCCTGTTAGGGGCCTTTGTTGGAGTGTTAGGGTGGGTGCCAAGCAGGGGGTCCGCACTGGTACTTGGCTCAGAGCGAGGGAGTTAATGGTCTAGTTAATTCTCCAACAGTTCACTAGGGAAATACTATTATTCCCAGTTTACAAGTTGGGGCAACCAGGCTGAGGCTTAACCCCTTGCTCCAGGTCAGTAAGTGCCAGATAAAGACCAGGGCCTGGCAGGACTAGGGCTTCACCCCAAACCCTCCTCCCCAGCAGCAGCTCCTCTGGAAAGGGGTCCTTCCCACATACCCTCCCCACTTTCCAGCAGATGACAAGGCCCATAGGAAAACCAAAGCTGGGACTCAGAGTTCAAAACCCATGGTCGCCAAGGTAGGTGCCTGTGTGATTTCCCTGGTCTGGGTCTCCACCTTGCATAGGTCAAAGTTTCGGTCTCCTCCCCACAGCCCCTGGAAGGTCATCTGGGGAATGGAGTCATTTGTTCTCCTACACAGCACCGCTCAGTTTCTCCTCCTCTCTGGCCCTCCAGCACCCTGAGGATCACTGTCCCTGTTTTATAGTTAGGGGACTGAGGCTGACAAGTCCCCTTGAGAGGTGCAGTCCTCTATAGAGAGGTGACAAGTGAGGTCAAGTTTTGGACAAGTGAAGTCACTTGTCCAAAGCTACCCAGAGCTGGGATTTCAACCTCATATTCCTGGGCTCTGATCTGAGTGCCCCACCTCACCCAGCTTTGTTGCCTTGCTCCTTGATTTGCTTTCTTATAGGGAGAGAATGGTGCAGTTTTCCCAGCCAAAAAGAAGACTGGGAGCATGGTCCCTAAAGAGGCAGCTGCCCAGGGGGCTGGGCAAAGGCCAAAAGCCAAGGCTGCTGCTCCTAAGGACAGTGTGTCCAAGACTGTACCTGCACCACTGGCCAGAAAGACAGAAGTCCCCAAGGGCCCAGGAAGGCCTGGCATGCCCTCCAAGGCCTTGTCATCCAATGGGACCAGTAAGAAGACAGAAGCTAAGAGCTAGAGGGAGGGTGGAAAAAGACTTAAGATTCTGCTGGAATTTTATTCACCCCAAAACCACTATATTTATTTCACTGTAACCTATTTATCAATAAAGAATATTTTTTCTCTCACAAATTGGTGTGGAAGGAGGCTGAGGCCGGACAGGAGCTTCTGCCCTGCTAGAGACAGATTGTACAATGTAAAAGGCTGGTGCAGGGATCTGCGGTCACAGCAAAGTTGTTTAACACAGCCTGAGATCTGGGACTGCTTCCTGGAGGAGGTGGCTTTTGGTCTTAAAGGATGAGTGTGAGTTGCCAGACAGATGAGAGGAAGGGCATTCCAGGCAGAGGGTCTCAGCATGTGGTGTGGTGAGAGGAGCATGGGGAAGAGGTGGCATGAGCCACTTGGGCCATGGGGGATGGGGCAGAAAAGTGTGGAGGGCAGAGTAGGAAAGGTAGACCTTCTCTCAGGCAGTGGGGAGCCAGGGAGGTTATAGGCAGGGGAAAGAATGGTGTGTGTGTCTAGGAAAGCTCTCTGACAGGGGGAGGAGAGAAGGGAGGAGCTGAGAGGAGTTAGAGACCCTTCAACGACTAATTACTGAGCACCACTGTGGACCCTGCTCTCATCAACCAAAGGAAAAGGAAGTGTGAAGGCTCCGAGGTGGGAACATGCTTGGCAAACTGAAGGAGCTGTGGGGAGGCCCATATGGCCCCAGCCCACGGAGGGAGGACAGTAATGAGACACGAAGTGCAGGGTGCTTTAAAAAGGTCTGTGACACCCTTCCCATGGAGTGGTGGAGTCTGTGTCCTTGCCCTTTGAACCTGGGCTCTGTGATTGCTTGACCAATAGAATACAGTGGAAAAGATGTTATGACAGTTTTGGGGCCCAGGCTTTAGGAGATTGGCAGCTTCTACTTCCTGTGTGTTTTCAAAACTCCCGTCCCCTCACTGGGTTTCCCGCTGGCAACCATCAGCCCATTTTCTGTGTCTCTGGGTCTGCTTCTGTTTTGTTTAGTCATTTTGGTTATTTCTTTTTTCCAGATTCCACATGTAAGTGAAATCATGCAGTATTTATCTTTCTCTGACCCTCTAGGCCCATCCATGTTGTCATAAATGGTAAAATTTCATTCTATTTCATGGCAGAATAATATATATATATACCACATCCTCTCCATCCTTTCATCTGCCCATGAAGCCCTAGGTTGCTTCTGCGTCTCAGCTATTGTAAATGGTGCTGCATAGGGTGCATATGAGTGTATCTTTTCGGATTAGTGTTTTTGTTTTCTTCAGATAAATATCACCTTTCTTGAGAAGTGAACTGCTGGATCATATGGCAGCTGTATTTTTAAGTTTTTGAGGAATCACCATATTGTTTTCTATAGCGGCTGCAGCAATTTGCCATCCTGCCAACAGTGTACCAGGACTCCCTTTTCTCCTCACCATCACTTATTCGTTGTCTTGTCCACAATTACCATTCCTGCAAGTGTGAGGTGATAGACATCTCCTTGGGGTTTTAATTTGCATTTCTGATAATCAATGGTGTTGAGCATCTTTTTATATGTCTACTGCCTATCTCTATGTCCTCTTTGGAGAAATTTCTATTCAGGTCCTCTGTCCATTGCTTAATTGATTTGTTTGACTTTTTTTTTTTTTTGCAGGGAATGTGTTAAGTTGTATGAGTTCTTTATATTTTTTTAATATTAACCCCTTGTTGGATGTATCATTTGCACATATCTTCTCCAGTTTAGTAGGTTGTCTTTTGTTTTGTTGATGGTTTCTTTTTCTGCACAAAAACTTGTAATTTGATGTAAGTCCATTTATTTGTTCTGTTGTTGCCCTTGCCCAAGGTGACCTATCCAAAGAGATATTGCTAAGAGAGACATCAAAGAGTTCCCTGCCTGTGTTTTCTTCTAAGAGTTTTACAGTTTCACATCTTATACTTAAGTCTTTAATCCACTTTGAGTTTATTTTTGTACAAGGTATAAGGAAGTGGTTCAGTTTCATTGTTTGCATGTATCTGTCCAGTTTTCCCAACAGTACTTATTGAAGAGACTGTCTTTACTCCATTGTATATCTGTTGTGTAACTGACCCTATAGGCAAGGATTTATTTCTGTGCTCTCTATTTTATTGATCAATATGTCTGTTTTAAATGCAAGTACCATGCTGTTTTGACTGTTGTAGTTTGTAGTATAGTTTTATATCAGGACCTGTGATAGCTCCCACTTTGTTCTTTCTCAAGGTTTCTTTAGCTATTTGGGGTCTTTTGTAGTTTCTTGTAATTTTTATGGTTCTAATTGTGAGAAAAATGCCATTGGTATTTTAATAGGGATGGCATTGAATCTCTACTAATCATTCTAATCCATGAGCAAGGTATAGCCTTCCATTTATGTGTATCATCTTTAATTTTTTCAATGTCTTATTGTTTTCAGAGTATAGGTCTTTTACCACTTTGGTTAAATTTATTCCTTGATATTTTATGTTTTCTGTTGCAATTGTAAATGGGTTTGCTTTCTTAATTTCTACTCTGATCAGTTGTTATTGATATATAGAATTACAACAGATACTGATCTGCATATTGATTCAGTATCCTGTGACTTTACTGAGTTCATTTAATAGTTCTAACAGTTTTTTTGTGTGAAGTCTTTAGGATTTTTATATATAGTATCATGTCATCTGCAAATATTAGTGTTTTAGTTCTTCCTTTATGATTTAAATGCCTGTTATTTCTTTTTCTTGTTTGATTGCTGTTGGCCTGTAATTTTCTTTCTTTTTCTTTTTTTGTAATGTCTTTGTCTAGTTTTGTTATAGGGTAATAATGCTGGCTTCATTTAATGAGTTTGGAAGCTTTCCTTTCTCTTCAGTTTTTTGAAATAGTTTAAGGTTTAAGAAGAATAGACATTAATTGTTCTGCCCTGGCTGGTGTGGCTCAATGGATTGAGTGTGGGCCTGCGAACCAGAGTGTTGCCAGTTTGATTCCCAGTCCAAGCCACATGCCTGGATTTGGATTCCCAGTCCAAGCAGCATGCTCAGGTCCCCAGTTGGGAGTATGTGAGAGGCAACCACACATTGATGTTTCTGTCCTCTCTTTCTCTTTCCCATCCCATCTCTAAAAATAAATGAATAAAATCTTTTTAAAAATTGGTCTGAGCATACTGAGTAAAATTTACCTGTAAAACTGGCCCTGAATTTTTATTTATTGGGAGGTTTTTTTTCCCTACTTCAATTTCATTGCTAGTAATTAGTTTGTTTAGAATTTGCATTTCTTCCCAGTTCAGTCTTAGAAGGTTATACTTTTAGAAATTTATCTGTTTCTTCTAGATTGTCAAATTTGTTGGCATATAATCATTTGTAGTATTTTTAAATGATTCTTCATACTTCTGTGGTGGTGTTACTTCTCTTTCATTTATTATTTATTTGGGCTCTTTTTTTTGTTGATGAGTTTGACTAATGGTTTATCAATTTTATTTATAATTTCAAAATACCAGTTCTTAGTTTTATTGATCTTTTCTATTATTTTCTTAATTTCTATTTTATTTCTGCTCTGATCTTAACTATTTCCTTCTGTTAATTTTGGGTATTGTTCCCTTTTTCTAGTTCCTTTAGATGCGGAGTTAGATGGTTTCTTTGGATTTTTTAAAAGATTTTATTTATGTTTAGGGGGGAAGGGAAGGAGAGAGGGAGAGAAGTATCAGTGTATGGTTGCCTTTCGTGTATCCCCTGCTGGGAACTGGCCTACAACCCAGGCATGTGCTCTGACTGGGAATCGAACTGCGATCCTTTGGTTCACAGGCCCAAGCTCAATCCACTAAGCTACACTAGCCAGGGCGTTCTTTGGACTTTTTTACTTGTTTCTTAGGGTAGACCTGTATAGCTGTGAAATTTCATCTTAGAACTCTTTGCTGCATCCCATAAATTTTGAAAAGTTGTGCATTCATTTAAAAAAATTTTTTAAAGATTTATTTATGTATTTATCTTTAGAGGGGAAGGGAAGGAGAGAGGAGGAGAAACATCAATGTATGGTTGCCTTTCGTGTGTCCCCTGCTGGGAACTGGCCTGTAGGGAACTGGCCTGCAACCCAGGCATGTGCCCTGACTGGGAATCGAACTGCAATTGTCTGGTTCGCAGGCCCACGCTCAATCCACTGAGCTACAACAGTCAGGGCCATTTTAAAAATTTTTTAAAGTTATATTTCATTGATTATGTTATTATAGTTGTCATGATTTTTATCCCTTTTCCCCTTTCCACCCAGCACCCCCTACCAATTCCTCAGGCAATCCCCACACCATTGTTCTTGTACATGGGTCATGTGTATAAGTTCTATGGATACTCCATTTCCTATATGGCACTTTACATCCCTGTGACTATTCTGTAACTACCTATCTCTACTTCTTAATCCCCTCACTTCTTTGTCCATTCATCCAAGTCGTCCTCCATCAGGCAACCATCAAAACATTCTCCTTATTCATAATTCTGTCTCTGTTCTTCTTGTTTGCTTAGTTTTTTAGATTTGATTGTTGATAGGTATTTTTTGCCATATTATTGTTCAGTTTTTATCTTTTTGTTTTTCTTAAGTCTCTTTACCATTTCGTGTAATAATGGTTTGGTGATGGTGAACTCCTTGAGTTTTTTCTTGTCTGGGAAGCTCTTTGTCTGCCCTTTAATTCTAAATGATAGCTTTGCTGGATAGAGCAATCTTGGCTGTAGGTCCCTGCTTTTCATTACTTTGAATATTATTTTGCCAGTTCCTTCTAGCCTGCAAAGTTTCTTTTGAGAAATCAGCTGACAGTCTTATGGGAACCCTCCCTGCAGGTGACTAACTGCTTTTCTCTTGCTGCTTTTAAGATTCTCTCTTTATCTTAACTTTTAGCATTTTAATAGTGATGTGTCTTGGAGTGGGCTTCTTTGCATCTATCTTGTTTGGGACTCTCTGTGCTTCCTGAACTTGCATGTCTATTTCCTTCACCAAATTAGGGGAGGTTTTTTTTTCATTATTTTTTCAAATAGATTTCCAATTTCTTGCTC